ATAGATAGATAGGAATGAATAGATAGATATAGATGGGAACAGATATAGATAGATAGATATAGATAGATAGATAGATAGATAGATGATATAGATATGTTTAACGTCTCCTGCCAAGATCTAATAAATACCGAATTATGCAGTTTTGATCACGTGGAAAGAGGGGGAAAAACATGACTTGGTTCCAGTGAAGTAAAAATTCAGAACCACATAAAAAAGAGAAATAAAAAGATTATGTTATGATAAAGCTTTACCGTGCAAAGAGGTAAAGTGGTTTTCTAATGGTAGCTTAGATGTGGGACAAGGCTGAAAGAAAATGGCACACAGTGAGGATCTATTCAGTCGTAATTCATGTGTCGAGACTAGCTTGCTAACGATTACACAGCGTCGAAGAGCCCAGTGGAATAGGAGTTTTCTATTACTCAACTTATTGCAATATGTCTCGCAGAATAAGCAAATAACTGTGACGGGAATAAAGAAAGAAAAGAAACGAAAGAAAGAAAAGAAACGAAAGAAAGAAAAAGCAAGAAAAAAGAAAGAAAGATTGTAGGATTGCATCGAGAATTATATAAATCCGACAAATAAAGAAATATCTACGGATACACACATATTCTTGCTTAGGCATAAATACATATACATATAATAACTATATAATACACCTAATATTTCGTATATACAGGAGAGGATGGATAAATTGTCGTCTAAACAAGAAAATAACACTGACACTCATTTTAACAGATATGCAGAGTGCGATGAATAAATTGTCGTCTAAATGACAAAAAAAAAAAAAAAAATGAAAATAACACCGACATCTCATTTTAGCAGATCTACGGGATGTGATGGATGTATTGTCGTGACGGGAATAAAGAAAGAAAAGAAAAGAAACGAAAGAAAGAAAGAAAGAAAAAGGGAAGATAGAAGTGTTTAACGTCTGTTACCAATACCTCATAAATAATCGACTATACCGTTTTGATCGCGTAGAAAGAAAAGAAAAACACTATTTGATTTCCTTCCTAAATTTAAAGTAAGCGAGAAAGAAATAAGTGTGTAACGTCTGCTTCAGTGAAATGAATAAAATAATCAACTGAAAAATCTTTTCATTTGTACCCGCTTACTTACTAAAATAGCGACCAGCATTCATTTTATGATTGTTATTGCAATGTTTTTTTGTTTTGTTTTTTTTTTGTTTTTTTCTTAAAGTGGTTAAGCTCAAATATTTAACAATGCGATAGGGGAAATTTCTACGAATATTTTATTGTCGTTCACCGTTAAGCAGACAGTGTGTTAATAATTGTCCATAATATTTGTTTTCCTCGGATGGTTCCCCGAACACTATGGACAATTTCACCGCAAAAAAAGGAAAAAAATCAGATAAGCTAAGTAACAAATCTCACAGGATAGTTCTTGTCTGTCATACTCAATGACGAAATACACATAAAAGTATTATTGCTGTACATGAGCGCGCGCGCACACACACATACATATATATATATATATATATATATATATATATATATATATATATATATATATATATATATACATTATTCGGACTATTGTCCTCATCTTTCTCGCCATATTTATTACAACGCTTCGGTCGTTAAACGCTCCGGCCTTCTTCAGGTGGTTGGAATGACGAACGGATCCCTTTATCCACTGTGCCATGTGCCATTGAGGACACATGGCACAGTGGATCAAGTTAGTTAGATCAGTGACAGGACCCAAAGGTGTGTGGTTCAATACTCGATTAAGGCAGTGGAGAACTTTCAGAGGGGAATTAACAGGAGATAACTGATAACTGACATCCATTAAACATGGCTCGTGGAACTAGAACAGTCTACCCCAGTGAGTGAAATAAAGGGTTCAGTTCGACATTCCAACCACCTGAAGACCCGGGCGTACAACGGCCGAAACGTTGTAATAAATATGGCGACAAAGACGAGGACAATAGTCCGAATAATATAAATAATGCACATAATACCTTATCTCAGAAATATATATATATATATATATATATATATATATATATATATATATATATATATAGTGTGTATCAAAAGTACTTTTGCAAAATTTGGGGTCGGGTTCCTGATACCAAAACAATGACAAAGGCAATATAAACATATATCCTCAAATCCTTCGTTTTTGAATTATTAAGTTTAAAGAAAGTTTGGGGTAGATTGAGTTGTGTTGCCACGTAGACTATGTTACATTTGTCATTCGTGTACATTTGTGGGTAGTCTGTCTTCAACGTGTAGCGTTTGAGTTAACTGAAAAATGTTCCGTTTAACAATGGCAAGATGTCAATATTGCGAGCAGGCCTCGCGAGTGGTAATGAACGCAAGGCTATATCAGACTGAGTTTCCTGATCGAAGGTAGCCGAATCATCGAGTTTTTGCTGCTCTTTATCGTCGCGTTGCTGAGACAGGATCCGTGGCACCACAAACTATGAATCAAAGAAGGCTATGATCCGTTCGTATCCCTGACTACGAAAAACAAATTCTACGGGCTGTCCGAGACGTTCCAGTTATCATCTGCCGTCAAGTGGCCCTAGCATGTCGTACATCTCAAAGTACCACATGGAGGCTACTTCAAGAACAGCTCCTGAATTCGTATCATTTGCAACGTGTGCAGAGTCATTCGTCCTCATCACGGAAGAACTTTTACCGATAGTTTATGGCGCAAATTACCGATCTATTGTTTGTCTCTTCAGTCTTTGGATGATGCAATATTTCGAAGAGATGGAATAACAAATGTATTCACCAAATATTTGTGGGCAGATCGGAATCCCCATGTACAATACAGGCTAGACACAGGCATCTGTTTACGATTAGTGTGTGGGCTGGAATTATAGATGTTATGTAGGGATCAAGTGTCGCTGCCAACACTTGAGTTTGAACATAGATCGTCTGAGAACAAACACAGTCGATCCCATTATTGAATTAAGTGGATCACGTGACCATAGCGGAAACGCATTCGTAAGAAGTCACGTGACGTCTAAATGATCTCCATTCCTAGTCTATCTTTTACTACTATTCGGATCGCCATTTCTAATCTATTCTCTACTCTATTCCCTATACTATTTCTCTATTCGGACCACTATACAGATTATTATTCGAGCGAGTATTATCGAGCAAGTACTATTAGTGCGAGTGACATTTGAAGGCGTCTGACAACAGTATTGTTCAACGGCGTTACTATAGTTGTATCTGCGATTACAAAGTCTCTACTACAATGAGCATTACGAAAGTGGCAACGAGTATTCGTTGGCATTATAAAAGTGGCAATGAGTGTTCGTTGGCATCACAAATGTAGATGACTTTCTGGTAGATCTATATGTTCTCCCAACTCTCTACAGGGACTTTATTTCGAACAGACTTCCAGACCTGCTAGAGGATGTACTCCTGCTAATACGAAGATGCATGTGGTTCATATATGGTGGGGCTCAACCACATTTTAGTTACATTGTTCACGATGCACTGACTGATATCGACCATGAAAAATGGATAGAGGAGGACCAGTTTCATGGCCTTCACGCCCCCAACCCCCGACCACAATCCTTTCGATTTTGACCCGTAGGGCCGCTTAAAACAATTAGTTGATGCAGCAAGCATTCTTTGTATTTAGTTCATGTAAATAAAAGTCTATATATATATATATATATATATATATATATATATATATATATATATATATATAATGCAGAGACGTTTCATCACCGTGTTGTGGGGACGCGCGAAACCATTCGACACCGTGTGGGATTATTTGAAAGGGTCCACCAGTTGTATGCTTTTGTAGAAGCAAACGGTAGACATTTGTAACATTTGTTGAGCTGCTGTGTTGAGGTACAACGATGGCTTTTTGGATATATGTTTATATGGATTCTTACCTTGTTTTGGTGTGAGGAACCCGCCTCCAAAGTTTGTAAAAGTATTTTTCATACACTCTCTCTCTCTCTCTCTATATATATATATATATATATATATATATAATGTTATTTTTAATTGTTTTTTCAAAATTATTTAATCTGTTAATAATTAATGACAAACACGTTATTGAATGAACAACCATTATCATTTTACTTAATCTGATATGTAAAAAATATACATATCCAATTTACCTTTGACTCAATGACGGCCATTCATAATAGATCTCTCTCTCTCTCTCTCTCTCTCTCTCTCACTCTCTCATTCTCTCTCTCTCACTCTCACTCTCTATGTGTCTGTATATTTGTTTGTATATGTTTCTCTCTTTCCTCCCTCTCTCTCTCTCTCTCTCTCTCTTTCTCTGTGTCTCTCTGTCAGTCTGTATCTCTCTCTGTCCCTGTCTCGTTTGTTTCTCTCCGTCTGTATGTCTGTGTGTGTATGTGTTTGTCTCTCCCTACCTGTCTGTCTGTGTATGCGTGTGTGCCTCTCTCTCTCTCTTCTCTCTCTCTCTCTCTCTCTCTATTTGTGTCTATGTATCTCTGTCTGTATGTATGTTAGGGCCTGTGTGTGTGTCTCTCTCTGTGTCTAGTTTTTTATGCCTTAAACTAATGTTTCGCTCTCTCTGTCTCTCTCTCTCTCTGTCTCTCTCTCTCTCTCTCTCCAACAACTTAGTAAGAAAAAATTTTTAAAAACTCCAAAGAAAAGCAAAGCATATTCTTCTTTGACAATTCTTTGATGGCGTATTTACGAGGACAAATGCAGTGGAAGATTTCCTTGTTCAACGCTCGATCTTTTCCAATTTTTTTTTATTCTTTTATTTTATTTTTTGGGCTCCGCCGGCGTCTTCGGAGAAAGCGGGAAATTTAGATTTTTTTTTTCTTATTTAATTTTTTCGTTTGCATTTAAATCGTTTTTGTTTTTTTGTTTTCATTGCTTCTAGATGGAATAATGTTAATTTATTTTTTACATAAAAATTAATTGAATAAATCGTTAATTGTGGAGGTGCTGAAAAGTTCCCATTTACATTTACATTTTCGCTAAAAGACTACATATCAACATTTTTGTAAGGCATCTTGGTCAGGCCGAAAATATTTCAGCAACCCCTTTTATTGCTGTAGAAAGAAAGAAAGAAAGAAAGAAAGAAAGAAAGAAAGAAAGAAAAAGCAAGGAATATTTTGAAGAAAGAGATAGCAGAGAAAGAAAAGGGAAAGCAAAGCACGTAAAATACATAGAAAACGAGAACGAAGAAAGAAAGGCGACAATTGTGTCAAACTCCCCACCCCCAAAAGAAACAATAAAAAAAACTGGTATTAGACAGCTTGAGAACGAATTGGTATAACGTTTAAAAAACATTAAAAGAAAAATAAGACTCAGAGAAAATGGCGAATAATGAAAAGAAAGAACAAAGAATGAAACGTCAGATAGAAAAAAAATCCATGAATGAATAAAAGAAAAATGAAAAACTGAAAGAAAAACAAAACGAAAAAAAAAAAAAGAACAGCGAAAATATCAAACAGATGAAGAAAAATGAATCGTATTCATAAAAACTGATGCAATATGACAACGTCATAGTAAGGAAAGGGGAAAGCAAAAAATTTTAAATAAAAGTCGATAAAAAAATTAAGCAATCATGAATATTCATACCGACCCTTCGCCCCAAGACAAATATCCTGCCTCGATCTGAAAATGTTACTTTCTTAAATTATCGTTCGTAATTGCTTGGCGCAATTCGATCTTTATTGGTGGACGCCGATTGGTCGCCTTTTCTTACTTCCAGGCTTAACTAATAGAAAAAAAAAACTCTTCAGTTCTCTAGGTTGAGTTGCGCGCTGAGATGTCAACACTTGGCCACTTAACGGGCATAAAAAGGCGTTTAAATAGGAAATTACAACCGGAAAAGGGAAGCCATTTGCTTTTTTTTTTTCTATTACTATTTTCGTTTTTTTTTTTACTTCTTTTTTTTTAAAATGGAGAAACGTTCAAATTCTCAAGGCATTTTTTAAAAATAAAATATGTTTTCTTCTTTTTAATTTCTATTAATTTTTTTTTCTTACTCGTGCTCTTTTCTTATTGATAATCTTTTTTTCTTTTTGATCCTCTTGTTACATTCTGTGCATGTTCGCTCTTGCTTTTCAACGATTTTCTCATTTCTGTTCAAGAATGTTTTTAAGCCTCCCCTCTTTTATTTCTAAACATACTGCGTATCTCTTTTTTGTGTTTATTATCTTTTCAAGACTCCTAATTACTTTCCTCTCCACTCTTGCAGACGCTTGCACTCGTCAACTTGTCATTCCTATTCTCGTTCCTGTCTTATTCTAAAAATCTCTCATTCTTTCCAGCCAGTGATCTTATCATGTTCTCAAAAATGTTTCATCTTCGCCATTCTCGCCTGCCTTTGTCATTTTGTCGTTTCATCACCCAACCCTGTAAATCCCCTCTAGTACAATTCTCTGACTCAACCTTTAACATCTTTCCGAAATATATCCGCCTTCTTCTTCGGAATGTACGCAATCAAGACACTCCACAGCTTCCGATCCTTTGTAAAGGATGACCGCCTCCTAAAAAAAACAGACCCTACAATTTTTTTTAATAAAACTGTTAATATTAATTTTTCTTTTTCCTATCAGGGTATATAAATTGACTTTGTGCATGAAATATTAGAACACTTGTAGAGTACCGTGTGTATATTTACGTGTTGTTGTATTAGAAACACCTGTGTAACTCTTGGTAGAATACTAAAAGGTCCAACTACAAGAAAATTGCCGGACTCAAGTTAAGTCCAACTGAAGATAAAAAGACAAACAAATAAATAACCTATATATATATATATATATATATATATATATATATATATATATATATTTGCCACCAGTAGCGTTTGTCTTCATACCCTACCTGATGGCAAACGCTGCTGGTGGCGCCAGGGTGGCGGTCCCGCCATTGACACCGAAACCGCGATATCACCCCTGGTCGGCGAGTGATGAAGACAGGGTATCGCACGTGCTAACACACGTTGTATGTATATATATATATATATATATATATATATATATATATATATATATATATATATATAAACAAATATATGTATTAAACAAAGCAATTTTACAGTGAACATAGCAAACATTATGTTTGTGTGTGAACATTTGTGTCTGTTCTTTGGTGAATGTTCGTACGTACGTGTATGTTTGTAATGTTCATAGCGTCTTCCCTTTTGTGAGTAGCGGTGTTTGCTGAAATGAAGAAAGAAGAGAAAGAGGCAAGAAGTTTCCTAGTATTTATAGTATTAGGAGAATGACCCCTAGTAAAGAATTTGGGAATTAAGGAGGAGATAACTCCGACACAATAATCTTGCTTAATATGTCTTGGATAACCAAGGAAAAGACATTTTGCGTGGAGGTCTATTTCGCCAACAAATCATACTCTGTAATGCAAGCAAACTTTGGACAAAGTTTCAGTGTCGTCATGCGCCATCAAAAAGCAGAATTTTTGACTGGTTTCAAAAGTTCGGAAATTATGGGACTGTGCAAAATCTGAACTCTAAATATCTGAGAGACACTTATTCTGGTCGGAGAGTGAGTGCTAGAACAGAAAGGAATATTGCCGCTGTATAGGATGGAACCCAAAGAAATCACTTTGACGACGAAGTCAACAGCTGTGAATATCTCGAAATTTTTTGAAATGTGTCCTTAAATCAGACTTCCATATGTATCCTTACAACATCCAAATAAAGCAAAAACTTATGGAGACGGACATGGAGAAACGCGTAACCATGTGTGAATGGTTTTGTGACACCATCGAAGACAATCCAGACTTTTTGAATCAAGTTTGATTCTCTGACGAAACGCACTTTCTACTTTCAGGACATTTAAACAGCAAAACAGTGTTTATTTGGGTAAAGCCGCACCGGAGGATGTGTTACAGAAGCCGTTTCACGTAACAAAGTGCACAATATCGGTTGCAATTTCTAAATATGTTATTATCGGCCCATATTGGTTCGAAGACGAAAATGAGACACGCCAAACAGTGAATACGGAGCGCCATATGGGGCGACGCAAAGGGATAGATTGAAATGACCAGTGGCTCCAGCAAGACGGGGCCACTCTACACACAAGACAAATGACTCCCTAACCTGGTCGAGAGGGTTATTTCAGGAGAGACTGATGGTATTTATCAATCCACCCACGGGGATCAAATGTGGCACAAGGCCTTTTTAATGTGGGTATCTCTGAGCCCGTAGGCCCAGCCAAAAATAAATAACCATCCAAACCCGCCGAGGCGGGCCAGTTCCGTCAAGCTCCCCCAACGAAACCCTACCCTTCGGCGGAGCTTCGTCCGGGTTCCTCTCTGCAAGCAAAGAGTTCGACAGACACCCGGCCCGGCAGCTCACAAAGCGCAGATACTACACTTTGATCCTAGCCACCGGACTGATCAGCAAGAAGTGTAATGTTGAGTGGTTACCGCACTCAGAGGACTTGAACTCCTCTGATTTTTATTTGTGGGGGTATCCCAAGGATAATGTGTGTGCAGAACAACCTTCAAACGATTGGTGAACTGAAGGCAGCAATCACAGCAAAAATCAGTGAAATCCCCAAAGAGGAATGCGTCCGAGTAATTGACAATCTTACGCGACGTTTGTCAGTTTGCCTCCAATGCCGCTCTTTAGAGCTTATTTTGGAAAGAACATGACTTTTATGCAAAGCGACCAAATTACTTTGGGGGGGGGTGATCGTACAAGGACTGAAGTGTAAATCCACCAAGGTTTTTTTTATTTATTAACTGGACCCTTGTAGGATTTATTACAATATTTATGAGTTCTGATTTTTGGGGTCACTCTGCATATATATATATATATATATATTACAATAAACGTGCAATCAATTTACAAATACATGAATTATTCACACAAAACTAATGCAAAGGTTAATGATTTTAAATGGCGAGACATCCATCTCGCAAACAATTCAAATATTACACAAAAACCTTAGATCCGTTATGAATGAATTGATCCTTGTTCATATAAATTTCTGCCGTATTAGTTGTTATTTTTTTTACAAGCTTTCGTCTGTTCATACAGACATCTTCAGGTATATAATAGATGTTGTTCTTGTTTTTTCTCTTAGTAATAAGAGGACATCGAAAATATATGTGTATTGTATCCGAAATGCTATTGAAAATGAGATATTGGTTTTTGACGCGCCAAAGCAACGCTGAGTTTGATTTTTAATTTCTTTTTTAAAATGTTTGCGTTTGTACCAAATATGGTAATGAACAAATTATTTTACTGGTAAATTTTACTGTCAAAGTGGCATGAACTATATTGTTCAATAATTACAGTAATGTCGCACTTATTAACCAAAAGTCGCACATGGATCACTTATTTAAATTACAATAAACGTGCAATCAATTTACAAATACATGAATTATTCACACAAAACTAATGCAAAGGTTAATGATTTTAAATGGCGAGACATCCATCTCGCAAACAATTCAAATATTACACAAAAACCTTAGATCCGTTATGAATGAATTGATCCTTGTTCATATAAATTTCTGCCGTATTAGTTGTTATTTTTACACAAGCTTTCGTCTGTTCATACAGACATCTTCAGGTATATAAAAGCTTGTGTAAAATATATATATATATATATATATATATATATATATATATAAACACTGGTGATGGTCAATATGGCAGGTACCGAGGGACTTCTTGAGGGAGTCCTTACAACGTTTCTTTGGTGCCCCCCCTGTCACGGTGGCCAGTGGAGAGTACATCATACGGGGCTAGCTAGTTACAGTCACGTTTCACCACATTCACCCCTGTGGAAATAGCCTTGGAAAAGGCATGAATCCACCGCCTTACCCATCAAATTAGTAGAACTTGCATCAGCAAAAATCACCACCATCCCTGAGCTTGTTCCCCGTTCTTCTCTGTATCCTTTCCTCAAACACGCCTCTTTACTCTTGTTCTCAATCCTCTGTAACCCCTTGCGTGCTAGTAGCACTCCCGCCTTACTTGGGGTGAATTGCCTTAAAATATATATATATGTGTGTGATAGATATTAGGGGGATTTGAGATAATCATAATTAAGTAATTCATCGCGTCTAGAAGAAACCTCAACAGAATGCAGAAAGCACTGGACGGCCGTTTCGTCCTAAATTTGTGACTGATTCAGCAGTGCGCATCCACTACTGAGAATTGAAACGTGGGCAGTTACGTTATCAGGCAAACGTCATACCAACTGTACTAACGGGCCTCGGTGACGAAGGGGTAACGAATCAGACCCGATATAGCGCCCCTCGTTCACATATTCTGTGGTGGAACTCATCCGAGTTTTTCTTTTACCCATAGGACTGTGAACCCCCCGCCACGACTGCTATGACCAGACTGCTTCACCCAGAACATTAGAAGCCGGTCCAAGCAAGGTTACATACACACATACATATACATACACACACACACACACATCCGCTTTTACCTGAAGACGGCCAGGAGACCAGAAACACGTGTCGCAATATTATATAAAACAAAGCATAATTTTTTTTCTAAATAAATCTACATTACAACCAAAAAACGTTTGCGGCACCTCTCTTTAATATACATACTTTTCTCTCGTTGGAACCACTACAACATATTTCTTTTATATATATATATATATATATATATATATATATATATATATATATATATATATATATATATATTCTGTGTACATATATATTTAAAGACTAATTATTTGTATCTGCTTTAAGCAGTGTCTTAATTAATTAGACATTTGTAGGATTTATTACAATCTTGAGATTTTCCAGGCGTATCTTAGATGTGGCACAAGGCCGAAAGTATGGGGCACCCAGTGAGGAACGAACTCACTACTCAGTCGTAATTGTTCTAGAAAGAGGAGCTTGCTCACCACTACACCACGCCGAGGTGCCCGGATTTATTACAATATTTATGGACTTTTGTTTATTTGTTTTTTTTTGGGGGGGGACCCTACACTTCTTAATAAAGTTTTTTTTTTCCATCCTAACCTGTTCCATCATTCACTTACACAAGCTTGTTAGCGAACTTATTCGCTGTGCTACTCTGTTTCTTTTACCTTCAATATATCCTGTAAGTAACAAATTCTCCAAGCATTCTTTCCTCGTTATGTGTTCCAGAAATTTCAACTAGCTTTCTGATTTTAAGTATAAGCGTTCTTTTTGTTTCCACCTTCCTTAAAACCTTCACGTTACTCACATGTTCAATCCCTTGTATTCTCAGCATCCTCCTGTAGAACCACGTTTCTGGTGCCTAGAGCATCGTCTTAGGTTTTTTTAGTTTTTTTTTTTATTTTCAATTCCTCTCATACAAATTTTCGTATTTGACTAAGAATTGAAGCCGTGAACATACAACGGGACCCTCTCACAGATTCTCACCGACCCCATATTTAAAATCCTACGTTGAGCACCTATTCTTGTTCGGATCGGAGAGCACCTAAAACTGGGAAAAGCCCGATGCACCCTCATAAGGAAACGAAAGTTGAAAATAAACTCCACGTCTAGAAATGAATACTCGAACCCTATCAACAACATATTTAGTTTTTGTCTTTTAAATAAGGACTCACTGGCACTATAAGGGTGGTTAGGTACATGACACTTAGAACACCTGCCACTTCCGACATCTGAAACTAGCAGATCCGCTTTTCCCATCGTCTCTTCTTCCTATTCAACATCACGACAGGTGGTTGACAACTGTAAGGTGCGGCATTGGAACTACCCCGAGGGAAAATCTCTCCCCGTTGACGTGCTGTCCAGAACTGAATTGCTTCAATTCGACCTGTGACTCTCAATATATGCCTATGACCGAAAATCCTCAATGTCCGGTTTTCTTGTCACTTGTTCCCAAAAGTTTTCATTTATTATTTTATTCTCTTTTGATCAAGTGGGTGGACGGCTCGAATACGAAGAGACGATGCAACAGATGTACTTCTACATAAGGATGTTGGGAAATACACTGGACTAAACACGTTAATAACTCGAAAATTTTTAAGAAAATCGTTACGAAAAGGTGATTTTTAATTAAAATTAGAAAAAGCTAGTTGAAGTCCTTGAACATATAACGAAGAAAGAAAATTTGACACTCACAAGACATTTTGGAAGCAAGGTTTTCAGAGAGAATTGTCTTATACTCGTTGTCAATATGTTCAATATGTGAGCGATTTTTCATAAATTTTGGTAAGTGGAATGTTAGCCTACGTGAGAGTGTGGTAGTTGTGTAGCCATTGTAAAAATTTAATGAAAGAGAATTAATTGTCTTATACCTATTGTCATATTATGGTTGTTTATGATCAATATGTGAACGATTTTTCATAAACTTTTGGTAAGTGAAAAGTTAACCAACGAGAGAGTGTAGTAGTTGTAAAAATTTAATTTTTTTTATTATTAGATATAGGCAAGGAAAAATCGCTTCGATTATCATGCATTCGTTGCGGCAGGTGGTAAAAATAGAATGCTTGCATTGAAAGATTAAAATTAAAAGGAGACTTAGCCTTTAAATTTAAATGTTGACGTCCTATCTAGATCTATCCCTGCGATCTATTTACACGAGCTACCCAACGAGGTTGTGTAAATGAATATCAGAACTGGGGGTGGCGAGTAATAGTAAAAGTAAAAGGACAGAAAGTTGTGGAGAGCCATGATCGCTGAAATCTTTGAGGGCGAATAGAAGTAGATACTTCCTATCATTCGTTTTACTAATAATAATAGGAAAAAAAGGATTCGACCGTAATCAGGATCATCAAGTCAATGCGAACGATCTTTTCCTTGGGTGTCCTGGGTATGACAATAAACTACATCCGGCAGCAAGGCCTCTGACCAGGAGGCTTTGAGGAGCGTGGGACCACCTCAATTGATAGTGTTCCCAGGCCTAATCTGGTTCAGGATGGTAGCACCTGTTAGCGTCCCAGATATGGGCAAATAGTTAACCCACAAACTGGGGTCAAAACACTATGAAAGTATAAATATAGGTTTTAATACCAGCAATACATTTTTACGAGTAATAAATTTTTGAAGAAAAAATTACCAGCATTACATTTCTGAAGAAAAAAAATATTACCAGCAATAGATGACTGCCAGCAGTACTTGTTTATAAAAAGATAAATATTACAGCAATACATTTTTGAAAGAAAAAATATTACCAGCAATAAATATCTTGTCGGCATTAGATAACCTATTGAGGTTGATAAGCCGTAAAACAAAACAAACCAAATCATCTTTTCCTTAGCTGCATAGTATGTCCTTCGCCAAGGTTACATTGAATCTTAAATTCAGAGATATCATTCTCCTAGACCGGTCGCCACCCAATGTTATAGAACTCAGTCTGCCCTACTATTTATCCATAGCTGTGGGGAGAAGATTTGGATTCATACCTTTCCAAGCGTATTAGTACATAAGTGAATGTAATGTAATGGTCCGGAATTCTACCACTGCTCTCCAATTCTTCAATGCGAGCCATTATCCACTACTCGACAGTACCTTTGATCTGATATCAGCTCCTTTCATAATGATTTTTAGTATATTATACATATAGTATAAAAAGGAGAAGAAAGGACTAACTGTTAACTGTAAGAAAACAGAAGATAGGTCTATTCGTCTGCAAGAGAGGAAGCCAAAGATGTGAGCCTGAAACTGGTGACCTCAATTAGCTACAGAAATTTATCAGTCTGCGGAATATCATAACAAATGACGGAAAACTTGACAGAAAACTAAAGGCTCATTGGAATAGAGAAAGATGTCTTCCAAAAACTAAGCAAAGAATTAGGTAGCGGGAAAATTTTATTAGAAACAAAGAAAATAGTGCTGAAATGCTATTTCATATCTCATATGCAATTTCCTCATAGTTTCACCTATTGCCCGGTTCACACTTCAACTCTATACTTCTGATGTCTCCACCTAAACTCTAAGATTTTTTTTACCATTTATTTACCTTTTTCCTTCACTAGAAGTAGATCGTTTCACTTACCGCCCGGTTCACACTTCTTCTCGGTCTTTTGAACTATTTTAATAATTGTAATTAATTTATCCTTTGTTTCCTGTTTAGGATTGGGGTTCCAGTTCTTTCTACAGTCTACATCAATAGGATGAGAGGTTTCCAGTTTAGGAATGTGTTTCACGCTCATCCTAAAGTTTGCTCATTCCATTTCACTCCAAGTAGTGCCTTGCATTTTAGTGACATTATCGCCTTGATTGGGGTGAGTTGATTTAAAAAAAATGAAATCTGAGGCAGCAGAAACATTGATCTACAGAAGGATTCTGAGAATATCATGGACACAAAAAGTGAGCATCTGTGAAGTTTTCAAGAAAATGGGAAATAAAAGAAGAGATGATTAAAATCGGAAAGCGCCCGTTAAAATTTCTGGAAAATACAATGAGAAAAGTGGGCTTGGAGAACATAACACTCACAGGACATAATGAAGGCAAGAGAGAGAGTGGGAACAGCGAGTAACACTATCTGACGCGTTTGTATGAATGGATCTCTGAACGGGGGACAAAAAGTGTTGGTAGATAAGCAAATGTTACTTTGAACTGAAAGGGAAAATGTGGAGGGTCATGATCACTCATATCCTAAAGGACACGGCACGTGGAAGAAGAAGAAGAAGAAGAAGACTTATTCTGTCAGTAATGAATGTCTTAATTTTCTGACCAATGGTAATCGCGTGAAATGTATTGTTATGATAGAATCAATTGGAAGGAATTTGTATTTCAAAATTATTTACATTGGGATTGCGTGCCAGATAGAATAATAAGACAGTTGATAGTTCTGTCTAAATTTCTGGGATGAGGATTATTTACATCATTTACTCTCGAACTATTGTCAATTTGTTTTTCAATTTCACCACAAAGAAGGCACTAAAGCCACAAAGACGCAATAGAGTTACTGAGTGTTAGAGAGTAAGAAAAAAAAGAAAACTACTACTAAGGAGAGAGAAGTAGTTTATCGTCTTACCCAGCACGCGGATGTAGTTTATCGTCTTACCCAGAACGCGGATGTAGTTTATCGTCTTACCCAGGACTCAGCTCATATTTTGTTGGCATGTCCGGCACCATGGATGACTCAAGAACCAAGAGACGATGGTACAACAGGAAACCGACGATGAAGGGACCAATGAGACGTCGCAGAAAAAGACGAATCTAGGACATCATAGAAGGGAAAGGGCAAAGAGGGTCGACTATTAAAGAAATCGAGCTGTTTACGGCAGAAGAGCATTGAGATACTTCTGAACTGAGATGGTGAAAGAATTACCGGACATGCCAACCTGATCCTGTGTATGACGATAAACTACATCCAGCAGCAATACCTGTGATCGGGGGTTTTGAGGAGCGTGGAACCACCTCTTAATTGCTGGCGTTCCAGGTCTACCCTTACCCGGGGTGTTAGCACCTGTTAGGGTCTCAGCTGTGGGCAAACAGTTAACCCCATCAAAACACTGAAAGTGTAAAAATAGGTTTTAATACCAGCAATATATTTTTGAAAAAAACAATATTACAAGCAATACATTTTTGAAAAGAAATATTACCAACAATAAAAAACTTGTCGGCATTAAATGACCCATTGTCGTTGATTTGCCGCAAAACAAAACAACCAAACCAAACTTGACATGTAGAGATTAAATATTACCCGAAATTCTTTATTGAAGGAAAGAATAAAACCAGCAATGTAATTGTCTCTCGACGGAAGCCATCTTTGCAAGTGTTAGTGTTTTTTATTCATATGTATTTGTTGTGGCCCGTTTAAGGGCCAGAAAGAAAGACACGGAAGACAAAGGTAGGTTGAACAAGTGTATTAAAATAACAGATATATATATATATATATATATATATATATATATATATATATATATATATATATATATATATATAAGAGTGTTAGTAATAAGCAGATATATGTGTACGTCCGAACGGTAGATTAACACTGTGTCTCCGCTCCCCAACCGACACCTCAACGACTCTTGCAGTTAGTTCATTCTACTGTAAGAGGGTTTACCGCAATAGATAGATAGATAGATAGATAGATAGATAGATAGATAGATAGATAGATAGATATAGATGGGAACAGACAATTATTTAATATTCTTTCTGTTTATACGTTATTTTATTCAGGCCGGTAAATGTAATACTGTTTAATTAAAAACAGAGCATTTAATCAAATAAGTTTTATCCATAAAAGTAACGTATATATTAAAATATTTGTCGGATTTAATCCATTTCATATAATATATATATATATATATATATATATATATATATATATATATATATATTATAAATTAACTGATTTAAAAAAATTTCACACAGTAATAACCATGTTTCAAAAATGGAAGCTAAAAGCTTCGAATTTAATTTTGTAATTAAATTAAAAACATTAATTCCATTTTATCCTCAAGCGAATTTCGGAGTAACTTATTTTTTAAAATTTACTGAGTTTTAAAGGCACAGAAAAATTCATAATTCAGTGTTCCCAAGGATACAGGGAAATCCAATCATTCAGACAAGGGGTGTATATATATATATATATGTGAAAAGTTCAAAGCAACTTTAAGTATCTGTAGTTGATTATCACATTTCGAAGGAGCGAAAAGAATACAACTTTTCGCTATGAAAAGTCACCGAGAAAGAAATCTAGTCTTTCAACTCTCGCACCGCCTGTAAATCGTAAGGGGACGATAATTCCAAAATCTCGCAGCAGTGAGAGTTTATTAATCAGGGAGCGGTACTCCAACAATAACTATACTAAAACCTTTAGGTTTTGTTGGATTATACTCAAAAATTAAAACGGTTCTAACATAGATATAGAGATGAAACAATCAAATAAGTGGACAGGCATTCTCTCAAGTCTGGACATTGGGAGGTGATAAGCTAAGATAATTTAATTTAATTTATAATGCCAACTTATCTTCAAAGATCCAAAGGCATTTTCCTTACATACAGTTTCTTTTCTTTCTTTCATTCTAATCTGAGGAAGTCAAAAAAAATCATACTCTTTCAGTCGAAACATGTCTTTAATTTATTTTCTTCTTTTTTGCGTCAAATTCACTTTAGTTTCGGATACTATCATATATCCTGAAAACACACACACAAACATATATATATATATATATGTGTGTGTGTGTGCACAGACACACACACACATATATATATATATACACACACATATATATATAAATATATATATATATATATGTATGTATGTATGTATGTATGTATATATAAATAAAAAGAAAGAACAGTATGGTATTTTCATGTTTTATTCTTACTTTTACAAAACAGTGCTCAATGTAAATTTACAGAGCATAAATATTATAAATTAATTGATTTGAAATATTGTTTCTTCGCTACATAGTAATGACCATGTTTCAATATATATATATATATATATATATATATATATATATATATATATATATATATATATGAAGAAATATAGTTTTAAGGCGTGCTATATTTATGGGATAAAGTGTTCAATATCAGAGATAGAGCGTATGCAAATATAAATATAAAAGTGAACATTGAAGTCAAAACTCAGAGGCGACAGGCTGTTTCATGCTAAACGCAATCGTCAGGTCTCGAATGTTGGATTTTTCTTCGACTATTTATATATATGGCTCAGTGGTGCATATTCTGGCCGTTATTTTTGCGTGAGTGGCTTTGTTTGAATAAATACTACAAAATGAAAATGTAAAACAAGTAAAATAAATTAACCCAAATAAATAAACTAACTAACCAACAGCACTCGATACAGAAGTAGAGCCTAGATTATAATTATTATTTTTTAAATTTAAAAAAAATATGATTCCATTGCGACACGGAAATTAACTATGCTACGGTATGTTTTATTCATTTATAGTTTTATACCGATAAATTTAAAACTATAAATGAGTAAAACATTCCGTAGTATAATTATTCCAAACATAGCCTGAAGATGACACTGCCACCCGGTAGTTAGGGTTTAATATTGAAACTAAACCTGAATACTGCTGACCAGTTTCGAAACATTTTAATTTATGTGTCGCAATGGAATCACATTTTTTTAAATAATTATATATATATATATATATATATATTATAATTGTTTTTTCAAAAATATGATTCCTTCGCTACATAAGAGTCCTCATGTTTCAAAAACGAGAGCCGAAACTATCAATATAATTATTAAAATTAAATTGAGTTAAAGTAATAAGCCCTGTTTCATCCTCAAGCGAAAATTTAGGAATAACCAATCTTGAAATTTACGCATCTTTATAAGCATGTTCATTCGCAAAATTAATTACTATGGAAACGGCTGGGGATGTTTGTGTTAATTGTACGATATCTTTTAGTTTTAGAAGACTGTCTGTGATGTGTATATGCCTATATATTGGTATGAGTGTGTGTATAAGTGTGAGACCTCAACACCTCTGCAAGCATGTCAGTCTGGTGTAGGTGAGAAATGTGGGTAGGGCCTGATTTATGGGGTTATATATTAATTCTATCTACGTAGTTAAATTTGTGGTTAGGCCCGTCTGGACAAAATGATTTAAGGCGCAAAATCCATTTGTCTTCATCTTCCTCTAGTATTTTTGTAAGGTTATTTCTATTTTTTTTTCAATTATAGTCAATTTGGTATGGCTTTTAAAATCATATTTTTCTAAGCAGAATTGTTGCTCCGTAGGTAATAATCTTTTATGGGGAGCCAACTTCATACGATTCCGATAATTATTAATTTTGTAGTGAAAGAGGCATTCAGATTTTCCCACGTATTGTTTGTGGCATAGTATGCATTCTAATAAGTAAATTATGTTATGAGTTAGAATCGTGGTAGATTTTGAAAGTAGATTTACTGATTGAGCTTGTGAAGAATTTGGTATTTCTCATGTGGTTACAACATTATTAATATATATATATATATATATATATATATAGAGAGAGAGAGAGAGAGAGAGAGTAATTATATATATATGTATATTGTGTATATTTAGGCAGCAATTTTTCATTGATGCATATTTCATTAAATAATATTAATTAATTGTTCGCAGTGATTCTTCCCCCCTTCCCGTTAGCGATTTGCAAGAAACCAACGTAGTTTACAAATTCAAGTGCCCTTTGGGAGATTGTATCTCCAATGGATTAAATAATATTTATGCTTATCACACCACAAACTCGCTTTCACGACGCTTGTCTCTACATTTGAATGAGAACTCTTGCATTTTTAGGTATTTAAAACAACATGCCTGGCTGCATTCACAATTCCGGAAAATCCTTGTTGAAAACACGACTATACTTAAACATGAAAACAAAAACTAAAAATTCTTGAAGCTTTATACATAAAGCAGTTGAAACCTAACCTGAACAAAATAAACTACGAAATCTCCACAAAGTTTCTTATCATTCTTACATCCTATAATTGATAACCGAAGCCATTGGTTTATAGCAACAGCTTCCCATACTTAATGCTTCTCGTTTTCACTCTCGCGTGGTCATGTGTGACGTCACGAGCTGTGACGCGATTTCCGCTTCCGCGTCTCGTATACACGTGTTAGTCGTTGCTTTGAAATTTTTCATGCAACAAAACGGACTATCATTATTGTTCCGTGTATTGGTTGATATATTGAAAAGTAATTATCATCTTTGATAATGTCTTATGTAAGCCGAAAGCTTAAATTGGGTTTAAACATGTATCAATATGGTGATTTCCTTTCGTCTTTCAATGATAATGTTATTAAAATTATCAGACAATATGAAAGGAACTTAAAACAAATAGACAAAACTTGTCTATATTATTTAATGAAATATGCATATATATATATATATATTTTAATGAAATATGCATATATATATATATATATATATATATATATATATATATATATATATATAAATGAAATGGACAAAGTCTGACAATTATTTTAAGACATTTTTTTGTGTTTATACGTTCTTTTCATACATGCAAATATTTAAGTAAATGCTACGTTTATAATAAACAGTATCAACGACATTTACCGGACCGAATGTCCGAGAAAGCACGTCAGGCTATATGACGGTTCCGTATAGAATACAGGTTCGATTCTTGTCGGAGAACGAATATTTTCTATGAAAATATCTGTATCTATAAAAAGAACGTATAAACATAAAAAAAATGTCTCAAAATAATTGTCCGACTTTGTCCATTTTGTAATGTGTGATGTCATTTGTTTACATTTGGATACGCATCGAGCAGATATGAATGTACGAGAGAGAATCATGGAGAATTGTGGTTTAAAAAAGTAAAATCGACCTATCTAACCAGAACGCTCCTCTGTGGCTAAATCGGTAAAAGCACGTGAGTCTATATGACGGTTCCGTATAGGGTTCGATTCCTGTCGGAGGACGGATATTTTCTGCGAAAATTTCGAGGACATTCAGATCGGTAAATGTCGTTAATACTGTTTATTATAAACAGAGAATTTACTTAAATATTTTTATCTATAAAGAACGTATAAGCATAAAAAAAAAAAATATAAAAAAAATATATATATATATATATATATATATATATATATATATATATATATATATATATATATATATATATATATATATATATCCCACGCCGACTCGGAGAGTTTCATGCACTACTGATATGCACATATAAAACGGCGATTGATCCATATATTCTTAATAGTTTATTGCATTTTATTAAATATTATTCTTCCAAAGCCAAGGGTTTTCGATTCATTAACACTATTTTCTCAACGTTGCTGTGAGAGGCTGTTTTCTTAACAGAATTAAATTTTATGAGAAAAACGACAAAAAAAAGACGTCCATCAAAAACGGCACGTGACAAGAGACGCATGTGCATAAACACCTTTATTCTGACGTCAGACCTTAAACGCTGTGAAAATTCTAAACCAACTTTTCTTTCTTTTTACTTTGCACCTTTCTTGCAAATGATGAGTTTACTCGAAAAAAAAAAGAAAAAAGAAAAAATTATTTGCGTCAGAGAAAGCATCCGGAAGCCCTGCACATTTCGAAAATGTAAATTAACTCGAGAAAACGATGTTTCGCAAAAATAAATTAGATTAACTCAGAACAAAAACAACCAAAAACAACTAATATGTCTATTACGATGCATTGGCACCAGAGTTTGCCAAGTCATATGAAATTCGTATACATAGATGAATAGATTATTTAGACATTCAATCATTTTTAAGCAACAGCGTCAACCATAATGATTCAACAGGAAAAGAGAATAGACATTGTACGATTATTAGTTTATATTCACAGAGTCAAGGCAACGTTTTTTTTTAAGGTTTATGGAAAACATAACCTTCATACTGAAATGATTCAATCGTGGTTTTGTGACAGTATAAATAACATCTCCGCTAAGTTATCATTCGCGCTAAATAAAGAATCCTAAAAACAAATCTTGAGTCTTCATTTTTATAGGAACAATTTATAGAAACATCTTCAATTTTATATGAAGAATTCAAGAGTCTAAATAGTGTAATTTTTATTTTATTTTCAGCCTGATACATACATGGAGATGAATGTCTGTTATTATAGAAGAAATGATCATAGTAAAAAAAAAATGTCAGACGACTCTAATTCAGTATGTGTTTATATCTCTGAGGTGAGGAATTATTAAAATAACGTAATTAATGCGAGTCTAATCCAAAAATGCAATAATTTATAAAGCGGTTATCGATAACTAATAGGCTGCCATTATTTCAAGCAATGGTTTATTTTTATTTCGGTAATAAAGAAATTATTACCTAATTATCGCAAACTTGATTTAGAGAAGCCAGTTCAAATTGATTGCTTATTAATTTCATTAAGGCCCACGTTCCTAATTCAGGGTGCGCCTGTTATGCCCAGCCCTTCTTATAA